CTTTTAATAAAGTACATAATTAGTTATCTGATTCTATTAGAGCTAGAGGGAAAGGGATGGGGGTTACTGGTCAAAAGAAGCAAAATCTGGAAAATCTGGCAGATAAATTCCACATGTTGCTAAAAGACTATGCAGACCTATTATGAGGCTGGGAACATACAGACAGCATGGATGATAGTGTTTGAGACAGCTGTGGAATCTTGTGTTCTTATATTTTTTTTTTGTGATGTGCATTGGCTGTTTTGGTGAGCAATGCAGAGGAGACACTGACCCTTGAATCTTGCACAAATACACATTTGACACAACTCTCAATACTTTGGTGTATAAATAGACACACTGGCAAAATATACTCAATGTTACAGCTATATTTAGCGTATTTGCCTATTTGGGCATCTAGAAAACACAGAAGGAGGCATTTACCTTGTTATATGAAGCACAAACAGAGCAGATGGTGGATTTTCATTCATTTGCATTCTGTACAACACGGATGGTAAGCGCCAAGAAGATTCCTAAAAATTGCAGTTTGTTTTTGGCGTGCACCGTTCTACACAATAGAGGAACGTAGAAATAAGTGATATTTGTAATTGATTGCTTTGGAAATCACAGGCAATATTTCTGCAAGGGCATGAGTACAACTGACTTTTTCCCCCCTAAAATGTTATTAACAATAAATTAAGTTGCGTTTGATACAAATTAAAAATATTAGTGACCGGTTTGGAAGTCATATTTAACAAACACGTGTTAGGGAGAAAATCACTATGACTACTGACAAGAAAAAAGGGACCCAAGAGCGGTGTTATATTATTGAATTTAGTGCAACTCAGTAACACCTTAGTGATTAGGTACAGGCTCCATGTTTAACATACCGTGAATATATATATATTCTACAATATATTATTGTACAACTATGTCAAAAGAGACATCACATCTTTAAATATAATACCTGTATTATTTATGTGTAACAAAACTGTGCTTAACTGTATAATACTTCGTATTATATTATAGAAACTAATTGTTTCTGTTCTATTAAGATATATTTTAACAAAGCTCAAAAGTTACAAATCAGTTTCATGTGTGTAATGAAAGCACTGATCAACTGAGCAGTATAGCAGCTCTAGCTATCTCAGAGCTTGTGGCTATCCTCTGGGATCCTTTGTGGTTGGTCTGTTCCAGTACATACAGAAAACACCTCAGAGATAAGTTTGCCTTTTATGTAGGTGCAATGCCTGCAAGTGACTATATTCATTTACAAAAAAAAAAAAGCCTGTTAGTCGTCTTTGAGGTTTTGTTATCATGAAGACCTAAGCCAAGACCACCACGCGTTATCTCAGGGCCGACGTTTTAAACATTTTACTGCAAGATTTATGCTTATCTCACTTTGCCATAAACAAGTACATCAACTGTGTGGAAACCATTTGTGTTTTCTTCTGAAAGAAAAAAAGTAACACTTTCAATTACTAGTAGGAAAATATAATTTTTTCATGTTTAACAGTAATTAAAAAAATGCCCATGTAATTATGAATAGTTGTGTCAGTAGTGTTAGTATTAGTCTATTTATGTATATGTGGTATCTTTCAAAAAATCCATACTAGGGTAACCTTATTTTATATTTCCCTTTTAACATAAACAAACAAATAAGTCAACTATAAAGAAACAAAAACGTGAAAAATTTTATTTTTCCTAATTTTCTTTACATGTTTCGGTGTCTTACATATTTTTATTGCTGTTTTTTTTTTTTTTACAGCAACCAAGTGTTTGGTTCAAAGTGACCGTACTGTGACACTGTGCACATTTTGTTTCGTATTAATCTTCCTCATTGACAGTCTTTGTTAAATAAGAAGGCTTGCAGTTCACCAGGCGACATTTTCATATTTGTTAGACTTGGTGACCTGAGGTTCACCTCGGCCTTGGACTTAGCTTTTCTAAAAGGTCCAGCAAGTGTCTTTAAGGCAGCAGGGAGTTTCTGCCAGGTCACTTCTTCTGACAGAAAATGAAGAATAAATAACGGAAAAGTACACATTACAGAGGTTATGAAATGCATCACTCTTGTTGATTGTGAATCTGAGGAAGGCCAGTGACCTCAGCCCAATAAAAGGCGGATGGCAGGGGGCTCTAGAAAATATTGCCAATGTATGTGGTTTGCTGCATAATCGTGGTGCACCTCCTAGAGAAGTTGTATCTACCATTTCTAAAGTACAAAAATCAACGAAAAATTCTGAATTTCCCCCAAAACAGTAGTAAAAGATAAGTCAGTTGTAGAGATCTGGAAGCATTTAATCTGTGATTAATGAATGTGCAGGAAGTTGATAGGGGACTGAGGTTAGGTATATAAGAGGGGGAAAAAAATAACAAGGCTAAACCAAACAATATAATCATTCGCTCGTTTTACACTTTGTTCTCTTGCTATCTTATCGCACACGTGTTAAAACAATATTTAAAGGGATTAATTTGCTGAAAGAGGTCAATTTTTATGCAAGATCGGTGAAGCCGTGCTTGCTGGAATCGCTGCAAATACCCAGTCAGATTGGTGTGGATACAATTCACTCAGTTTAATGGGTCACATATATCATGCCAACTTTAGTTTTAAAAAATTCAACTCAATAGACTTTGTTTATATTGTACCGTAATACGTACTTATAATGTATATAAAACGAGTTTCTTCCTCTCTCTCTCTCTCTCAAAAATAAAAGACTACCAAAAAAAATAAGATTTATATTTATGGGAAACATAATTTATAACAAATGAAACTAAAGTTTAAATGTCTTATCTACTGTGGTTTTATACGTTAGCTTCATATTTTTATGTCTATTGAAATGCTACACAAAAATAACCAAATATATATAATAAAGTACCTGTTTTGCCTTCAATTCTACTACTCCATATGGAACAATTTCATTCAGGCTATAGTGTGGATGACTTCAAATGAAATGCAGCTCGTACTGTTGAAAGGAATCATTTTTCTATTCTTGCATGTTTAATTAGGGTCATTTAACCGCTAGAGTTCAACAGGAGTCCAGTCTATGATGGTCGTCTAACTCAAAACACTTTTTAATCTTTTGTGCTTATGAGCGAAATGTCCACTATATAACATTGACATCAAACTTTGTCTGGATAGATGAGTTGAAGGAGCGCATAGCTTAAACTTTTGACCTCCAGCTTTTTGACCTGTGGTTGTACCACCCAGCACAGCACACACATAGACCCACACACACACACACACACCCACACACACACACACACACACATCTTAAAGTTAATATTTGGTTTTATAGGTTACCATCATCACAGCTAACTGCTCATGTAAAAATGTAAAATTAAATCGCCTTACAGGACATGATTTTAAATAAATATCCGTGGTCATACTAATTTTTGTTCACTGCAACTCTGCAGTAGACACAAACGTCAAGACAGATTCAACTGACAGCAATGTTAATTGCTGATTGCCTTCTCTTATGTGTTTTTTTGCTACTTGCATGGAAAAAGTACATTAATGGAAGAAAGAGGGGGGAAAAAAGCTTGCATAGGCAACTGTTGTCGGTGAACTTGGTCTGAAGCGAGCTCTGGTGGTGATACTAAGGTTTGCAGATTTATCTTCTCTGCATTTACTTAACCTGGCAGTGAACTGAGGGAGCTGTGATTTGTTAAGCACTGACAGTCTTCACCTTAAGCGAGGGCTGCTTCACAGAATTGCAATTGTTTGAACAGCAACGTTGAGTAAATATTATTTTCAAAGAGACAAAATAGCTTAAAACTTATATCTGTTCAGTTTAAAACAGTATTGGGTAGGTTTTATTGTACTAACACCATCCGGCCATATACGTTGATGTAGATATTGGGTTTGCTGAAAACCACACATGGAATTTAAACTTGTGTATATGTGTATTTCAAACTTATTGAGTCTCTCTCTCTCTCTCTTCCTTTTCCTCTCTCTCGCTCTCACACACACACATCTCTCTGTCCTAGGCATAGAAACTCCCCCCTTCACAAAAAATGTCTTAAAATACACAATTTAAACACTATAACTATAAAACAAAATACATTTAACCAGCATCCTACAGACAAAAAAAGGTTAAAATTAGTTAAAACTGGATGCTACTTGTTGGACTAAAGTAACATGATGGGGCTTACACAGTTACACAGAATAATTTGCTACATGTAAATCACAATTTATTGCATCCAGCTGTTTCCACTATATACTTAGTAGGTATTTAAATATGTGCAAAGACAACTTCACAATGAGTGCAAATGGTAACAGAACAGCTTCATAAGAGACATCTTAACTTATAGCAAAGACAAAGAAAGCTAATACTTGTATTTAAAAACATACAACTGCGAGTTCTCACTTTACTTTTTCTTCCAGGACCGCATAAAACTATTAAAAGATAAACAATTTGACAACAATAGTTAATACATTTGATCAAATGCAAGTATCAGGTAGGGAAGTTTGATGTATAATGTGTTTAAAATTGAACACCCATGTCGTTGTTTGTTTGTTTTTTGCTAAATTTATTAGCAGGGGTGTAGTCACACACACACACACACACACACACACACACACACACACACACACACACACACACTGCATTAATAACAAGGAGGTATACATATATGGCTTTTTGTAACAATCTTTATTCAATTATGGCACAAAAGGTCTCATATAGTAAAGATTGTTAACAAAAAAAACAACTGAATTATAACAACGATTGTGCCACAATGTCCAAGGAGATGTAATTAATGCAGTGCATTTTCCATGCAAATGCACAACGTTTTAAAATAGATAGATAGATAGATAGATAGATAGATAGATAGATAGATAGAAATAGTTAATGACAGATGGATAGAGATAGATAGATAGATAGATAGATAGAGAAAGAAAGGTTGATAGATAATTAATACATACATACATACATACATACATACATACAGCATACAGATATACAAAGATAGATAGATAGATAGATAGATAGATAGATAGATAGATAGATAGATAGATAGATAGATTATACAAAGTAAAATGTCACCATCTTCTATTTACCAACAATGCCAAGGAGTTCTATTAAAAGCAAGAATCCTATTGCGCCATTTGGACCACAGTGATGTCAAAATAAAAAAAGAAAACAATGATCCAATGACATTTATATGGGGGGTCATATTTTATGTTAATTTGGAGGTAAAGAAGAAAGGCACAGGCAGCCTGAAACCAGGCATCGACCAAATGTTCCTGGAGACAACCATAAAAGTTTATGACTTTCTTGAATTCTCACCTACAGGACATAAAACTGTCCACTACAAACCCCAGGTCTTCCAAAATGGAGTACAACCTGAAACGGTTCTTTTACCTGTGATTCTGATCAAGAAGAGAGTTTGGAGTATACCCCACAGTAGTTTCAGTAAACTGGCTCTCAATAAAAATGACCTAAACACTTCCCTGGCTGACCTCCTTAATGAAGACACACTTTTCCTCAGCCCTATTTTAACACTGGATCTCGAAGTTTAATGTTAAATCCGGCCATAAAGTTAATTGCTGACTTATCACAGGGCAGTGTGAACTCACTATTGAGAGAAAAAAGTATGTGAAGTAAACACACAGCTGGGGCCTATCCAGATTCTTCTGTCCTAGTTCAGAAATGTAGAAACATAACATATATCTTCAGAGGGATTTCACTTGGTATCTGAGCAATCTCTGTTGCTGACTGAAAAAAGCTTCCTTTGAAATGAGCCACTTTCGTTTTTGGACAGATAAGGACCATGGGTGAACTAAATTTGTATATATTATAAGGTACGTACCACCAGAACTGTGTGACAGTGCTTCAGGAGATAATTCATGAGTGTAAACTACTTAGTTATTGAATCCCTGCTCTACTTCTGAGACCCTCGTACTTGTTGACTTTATAAGCAAACCCAGGCGCCTACTGGACTATACAAGTGCGAGATATAAAGAACTAAGGGCTAGGCTAATTATTTCAGAATGTAGTGGTACTTGAGAATAAAAGCTAATGTTGTCCTCTTACTAATCAGAGCATGGACCTTGGTTTAAGTAGTGAAGTGTTTTGATTCATTTTAATACACCCACTGTGCGCCTATAGAACCAGCAAGATCTGTAAGAAACAGCATCAATGTACAATTCATAAACCTAACCTATGTTCTAAAACTTACCTTTAGGTTGTAAACTATCACATAACATGATGAGATGCTTTGATCTGCAGAGCTGGCCTCCTATGTCTAATAGGTGATGTCTGCAGCCCTTATGTGTCCTTCTAGGAGCCAAATGATGTCCAGCACTAGTGAGATTATATGATATGTAGTATATAATGTTGGACGTCTACTCCCCAAAACCATAAAACTTAGTTTAATAGCACCACGTGACATTTTATAGCCAGTGAGCCTATCTGTCTGTGCTATGGAGGATTTTACGATCTAATTCATAGACAAAACCCTATTCATTTGGCAACCAAATGTCACATAGCCGGAACTAGGGCTTATAAAGTTTACTGTTATATAACTTAGGGAAGACAAGAATGTAAGCAGTTAGCGAGGATTCTCTTTTCATTTCCCTTACAGGCTGAGTGGAGTTAGACATCCCTGCACAGGTAAGGTAAGTAACTCTTACAAGGGTTTCTGAGGAACCTCTATGCTCTACTTTACTCTTTAGTAACCTGCTGCAATTAAAAACTACTATGAAACATTCAGAATTGTTTGTAGGTTAAAAAAAAAAAAAGTATGCTGGCTCCCTAAAACTGGGGTCTATCAACTAAATAATGTGACTTTTCCTGTATCTTCTAAACTCACATTTATTTTTGCACACTCGTTCACATCATTTCCTGATTACAAACACAATATTTGGAGGTAACTTTGAAGTTTCCCTCTCAGCACCTGGCTTTCATACAGACACCTCAGTTCTCATCAATCAGTTATACAACCTCCCCCCTCAAAGTTTTCTCTACATTAAGACAGACAGTCCACTATTTTCAGTAGAAAGTTTATTTTTTTTCCAGTCATATTTTTTTCATGAAAAAAAAAATTACAAAAAAATAGCAATTGCTTAAACAGCCAAGCATAACTATATAACTTTGTGACCAAAAAACACATAGTACATACACTGAGCTGCGAGTGCAGCCACTTTACAAGAGGTCGTGCAGAGTTATGAAATATACAAAGGCACAGCTAGGACAGACTGCTTCAGATCACAGCTTGTGTCACCGCTTCACTACTCACCACTACTAACACAAGATAAATTGGCTTGCACAAGTCACCTCTACAACATAGTTATTCACAGGTATGATAGGTAGTTTCTTGAAATTTAGGTAGACGGTTTGTAGGCATTCAGACAGTTACACTACACAAACACATACAGCGTTTTTTTTTCTGCAAATTGAATGCAGCATAAAACAGAACATTTTAACAAACACTTTTGTGTGTGTTCTGTTACTTCAAGTAACACATAGCGCTTTACATACTCAAATAAGTTAAAACATTTAAAATTGTCAAGACATAGCCATTCGAAATAAAACATATACATAAAGCATCTGTAGCTATAACCACCCAGCATAGGGGCTCATGGCTAAGACAGGAAGGGGGAACAAGGACGGATTTTTTTTTCTTCACAGAAGTCACACACAAGAGTTCTAGAAAGTCTATGGTGACAATTCTAATACTGGACCAGTACTTTCATAGAAAAGACATTCTAAGGACGAAAAGCCCCTCCTGCTGCGGCCATGCTCATACTTTTCAGCTTGTTATCCTTTTTCCATTTCATCCTTCTGTTCTGAAACCAGATTTTAATTTGTCTCTCAGATAGGCAAAGGGCATGGGCTATTTCAATCCTCCTCCGACGTGTCAGGTATCTATTAAAATGAAATTCCTTTTCCAGCTCCAGTGTCTGGTAGCGTGTGTAAGCTGTTCTAGCCCTTTTTCCCTCAGGTCCCCCTATGTTATCTGCAAATAAACAAATAATAATGGTAGAATTAGCTGAACCACAATCAGTTATCAAATCTAAACAAGTTTCTGTTTTTACAAAAAAGCAATAACAAGTAGACAGGTACATATACTTGGCTATGGGTTCAAGTTAAAATAGCATGTAATATTGTAATTTAAATACCATCATGCATTTTTAAAATCCTATAAGTGTGTATCAACTTTGCATTAGCCTAACACCTTTCAGTATAATCCCAAATAAAAAGGGGCTTATAAAACATAATTGAATGCTATTTATATGTCACTTTAGAAAGTCCTATAACACTGCATTGTGTGGCAATAAAATTAGGTTAAGATCTCCATACTGTTCTAGACATTCTGAAAAGGTTAAGCTGTGGTCATAAAACTGTCTATAGCCATCACAAGCAATTATAGCGCCTGAAAGTTGGATTCTCCCACCCCTTTCATATATGTATTCACTTCTCATTGCAGGGAATAAAACGGCGAGATTTATTTACCATGACTTATGTGCAGTTTTCTCATCCAGGGGTAGATCTGGGGCTGGACCGATGGAGCTGGACTCTGTCCGTTCTGTGAACTTGCCTGGTCGCTGCTAGCTGGGGTGTCATCTTCAGCACCAGAAGAAGCCCCAAGCCCTTCTCTGTTAATGTGGGTGCTGTTACTATTGCTGTTGGTGCCTGAATTGGACGTAGTGCTGTTTGAGTTAGTTATAGAGTTTTTCACTCCTTGGTGACTCTCGCTGACAGGCGGGGTGGACACGGCAGTGCAAGGGAGAGGATCAGGTGGAGGAGAGTGTGAAGATGTTGCAGGTTGGTTATACCTTGGCTCTGTAGAGGAAGTTGGGTTGGATGGATAATTTCTTGCTCTGTCATTGGCATTAAAGTGGTTGGAAGCTGTTCGCCCAACGCTGAGATCCATGCCATTGTAGCCGTAGCCGTACCTGCTGGAATGCATGCTTGCTGAATCCCTGTATTGCTCGTTCACCGAGCTGTGATCTCCATAATTATGTAACTGGTAGTCCGGGCCATTTGGATAGCGACCGCAAAATGAGTTTACAAAATAAGAGCTCATTTGTTTTTTGATATGTGTGCTTGATTTGTGGCTCTTGGTCGTTTTGTGCGTCTATAGCACCCTTGCACAATTTATGATGAATTATGGAAATGACTGGGACATGTACTTGGTTCCCTCCTACGTAGGCACCCAAATATGGGGTACGACTTGGAATCACGTGCTTTTGTTGTCCAGTCGTAAATCCTGCCTGATGACCTCTAGAGGTAAACTGGTGTATTAGTGGGGGAGCTGGGAGGATGCTGACAGGGGCGAGCATTTCAGCGCGCTCCCGTTGCCAACTGGATACTTTTGTTCAGACTCTAACGCCACCGTCTGGACATTTCGCCGTCATTACAAGCTCTTCAGCGAGCTGAGGACTGCAGGGCCGGGGTCGAATTGAGGTTACATCCCATTACAGAAAAATTATTGCATTCCCCTCACAGTTCCATTAGTGAATACCAAATGTACCGGCTCACAGCCACAGTTCACAAACCATCATATTAATACCGAAATATTGCACAAATGCTACTGGTTTGTTTTTTTTTTCTGCTTTTCATTCCAAAATATATTTGACATTTCATCATAGAGATTGCCAGACCATGTATTGCCTTTATTTTATTGATAATGATACAGAACTAGCCGTATTGATTCAGTGAGGGGAAATAACGGTCACTCCCAATACTCCTATTGCCTTTTTTGTGCCATTCATGTGAAGGAGATCCAGTGTTTCAGACTGCATAGGCTTCGTTTTATATTTGCGTTGCCACTTAAACGTCATTTGCCAGCCAATGCAATATAGTAAAAGGACATTGTATACATATAACATAAAACATGCAGACTGCTTTATTTAACAATGATAAAACGTCTACACCTTCTCTATCACAAGATTTAGGGAGCATTCCATTGTCTAAATGCAAGGTTTAAGCATTTTGCAACTTAATAACCCAAAGCTTGCCATACTTCATATGTATCCTCGATTCCTCCTGGATTAGGGTTAGACTTTGACAACGTTTATTTATGAAATACGTTTACTTGACAAAGCAGACTCGCCGCTCTGCCTGTTCTGCTTTTCCTTTCAATGAATAAAAAGGCTCTTTGCCTTGCAGTCCCAGCTTGCAACAATGAGAGGCTGTAAATATTATTGTTACTTTTTACCATACAGCTGACAGTTACATTCTGTTCAGAGGCTCCAAAAAACAGGATGACCCCGCTATTCCGGATCTTTCTTTTTCCTTCTTTTTTTTTTTGTGTGTGATTTTTTTTTCCAAGATCACATTCGTCTGGACATCTGTTTACATGGCAGATATGACCAAACAATCTATGATCTGACTTAAATCCGTTAATCAGAACGCAGATTACATTTGCTTTGTAGGGTGGAGCAAGATTTAGGACTTGATATCCGGCTGATCTCTACTGCATCCATGGCTCAAAAACATTAATAAATTAATTCGATGATTACAGATTTTTTTTTTTTTTTTTTACATGAAAATGGTATGCATGCGTTTCCTGTTAGATAAATGGTCCCGGGGTTTTCCAGTCACTGTGAAGGAGAATGAGGGTGGAAATGGGCATGAATCCTTTGTAAAAGTATGTGGTATGTGTGCAGATCAGAGTACGATATTGACGTGAATAGAGGAGAGGCCTGGTGTTAACTTTCATTGACTGATTTGTCCTCTGCTGGGTCGCTGTTCGGTTGGGAAGAATTAATAATCTTGCTTTCTTTCTTCCATTTCATTCTCCTGTTTTGAAACCAAATTTTAATCTGTCGTTCTGTGAGGCAGAGAGCATTTGCTATTTCAATCCTCCTCCTCCTTGTCAGGTATCTATTGAAATGGAATTCTTTCTCCAGCTCTAAGGTCTGGTATCTGGTATAAGTTTGTCTTCCCCTCCTGCTGCCGTGGCTGCCGTACACTGCACCTAGAAGACAACAGCAATATCATAACCATAGCTCAGCGATATGTGATTCTGTATAAGACACTCAGACTATTCAATGAACACCTATTGCTGGAATAAGAGCAAAGCTCCTGACCTGTCTGAGACAGGGCAGCCAACACGGTTATTTACTGAATACAGTCAGAATACATTGGTGCCACACCTAAAATATTGTTTCTGGTCTTTTACACATTACAAACGGAGTATTTTAATGCTCTATATATAACACCAGTGACACCTAAAATCTGATATAAATATAAAATGAAATATAAATAACTGATGTCTGATGCGTATCAAATAAATAGATAATACAGTATCTTGTAAATATTCATGACATAAACAAGTAACAATGATCATCTGAAAATTATTTTCTAGTTGATGCTTCAAATCTTTACTGCTATTTAACAATGTAGCTACAGTACACACACACGTTCGATCACTCAAAGTGTGTGTGTGAAAATGTTATATCTATCTACATAAAAAGTAACTTTAAATACACACATTGTACTGTAGTGAATTGAACATGTCTACTATATATATATATATATATAT